TTAATTATATCGTATCCTTATTTAATGCGAGAAAAAATTGCATTACGTTCGCAATGGCATCTTTAAAAAAATAACTTATATGCCTGCCTTACTCCGATTCTGATCTTCAACTAGTTAGTAGTTTAAGCCCCGCTTTTTGAACTTTAATCACTTTCGAATCGCATTTAGTACTCAACTCACCTTTTCGTAGCCATGAAGACCAAGATGGTGTGGTCTTTTGTTTGGTCGCACTCTTCTTTAGCTGTGTAGTGTTGGTTTGACCCCGTTTGCGCAACTTGGCTGGGGCAACAATGAGACCTTATGGAGCGTACCTAGTTATGCATCCTCTGCTGTAGTATTGATGATTTAAGCATCGGATCATTGACTTAGTACATTCCCAGACATTTCTCTGGCATGGCCAGTGAGCAGTACTATCGTTGGCACAGAGTTAGTACTTATCAGTGGAAAGTGAATGCAATTCCCTTGACCAATTTTCTGTTTAACCGTTGTGGCATCACTCCTTTCCCCTATTTTCATCCTATTTTTTAATGCTGCATCTTCTAGCCCCGCTTCATATCGCTCATTTACCTATTCATACTATTCTATGCTCTCGTCTCATCAAATGTCGCCTAATTGTTTTGATTCAAGTAGATTTAGTAAGGCATAATCACCTTTACCATTAGTTTCAAATGTCGTTCTCAGGGCTTCTAAGACATGACTTCTGACTTTCATTTAGCCCATCTACCCCGCTTGTCCGTTATTCCCTATTACACATAAAAATCACTGTCTTGCTGTATATGAGCCTTCGATTCTGATCCACGTTTATGTCATATTCGAGGATTTAAGGCCACTGATTATCATGCCTAGGCTTAGGCTTCAGATTTATCACTTAGTTATCCTCTTTTCCATTCACACCCCATCCTCTCTCATTCTCTGGCACTCTGGCTTAGTTCGGAACTGCTGTTGTGAGGATGGATCGCTTCCCTTCTCCAATCCTTAATCGCGTAATGCGCGCTCTTGTCTCTCAAGTTGACAGCCCCACCAATTCCTAAGGTTATAGTTAGTTGTTAATGTTTACGTTAGTCGGTATTCTCCACACTTAGGCATGTCACCAATCACCTCTCACTAAGACCCGTACACGAAATTGCACACAAACATGCGCACTGGGGACCGGCTCATTGTGCTCCCCAGCCCGGTTTCCACATCCTGATAAATTTGAAATTGATCTAGATATTCAGCCTAGTATCCTTAATGGTGTATTTTTCTGGACTTTAATTTAATATCCCACAGGTGGACCCAAACTGGAAACTGAATGCGGATTCCGAGTTTGACTCCTCTCATTGCAATCGCCTTTCATTGACTTCCATTTGTCGCCCATGATCCTCTTAGCTATATCTCTTCCTGCCGTTAAATAGTTGTCCCCGGCCAAAGCGTCTTCTTTTAGCTCTTCTCTCTGAATCTTCAAGTCTGCCCATGAAGTACGCAAAAATCTTTTCGATTCTTCTCTTCCTTTCTCCTGTTGATCGGATTTCTTTGAAAGAGAGTGCTCATGGCCTCCCTATTCTTCCGGTTTCTGGTGTTTTCAAATGAGGCCAATCCTTCCATTGCACTTCAATGGGATTGTAACGGTAATGTGTTCAGCTATTTCCGATCTTTCTGTGTTCCTTTTTCCGCATAGTTGCTGGTG